GGGTAGCCTAGTAGTTAAAGCGTTGGCTCGTCACGCCGAAGACTCGGGTTCGATTCCCGACATGGGTACAATGAGTGAGGCCCATTTCTGGTGTCCATCGCCGTGATATTGCTGGAATACTGCTAAACGCGATGTAAAACTAAACTCACACACTAGTATAAAAACACGTCGGTACAACACCTACATTAGGCATATTACGAAATTAGTATGAAAAAAATTCAATATTGAGAGGCCTTTACTATTTATGGGAATAACTATCTTCCTGAAATGCCTAACAAAATACAAAATCTCTCTTCAATAAGTGACTTCTATTCACATAAAAGATATACGTCACTTCATTCAGCCTCATACAAAATCATTTTAGTCATGCCAGACAAACATGTCTATTTACTTCGTACTTCCCTCAGCACGGTATGAGGAAACAATGTTTGAATGAACCAGTCTGACAGCGTGAACTTGCAGTAACAAAGTTACCATCGCTACAAAGTGCGCCCTTGGTGACCCTTGATGCCATTCCATACCCTGTGATAGTCGATTACATTTTGGGAGCCTCCCGAAGCGTCACCAAATGTTTTCGTTTTTCCAACTGATAGCTCTTTCTAGCTGAGCTTTTATGTGAGTTGGAGAAGACCCTGGTGCTCTGTGTCCCTCTTTTAACACTCAGCCTTAACAAACAACCGCGCGGCAGAAACTCAACGCTATCTTTTATTCGAGCAACAAAGTCCAGCAGTGGATTAGGGACCTGATTAATGGCAAGCGAAGGCAAATCGTGTTTAAAACTTATTCTCTATGTTTTCATGTACGATGCGTACATGCCGTGCCGGGCGATATACTCAAACCATTCAATGGACGGTAAGTCTGTCCTCCAAACACATAAAGGCACCCGCAATGGGATCACTTCACATATACCAATGGAAGTCGGGCGTCTTATCGTTTGAAAAAGATTTCGGTTCTGTCCTTATTCTTCCTCCGGCTGTCATATTCGTGCGTCCTGAATGCAAAAGCACCTAATTGGGGATGTAATTGAAATTTAAACCGCTCACTCCTCGAGATCTGTATGTATATCGATAAGAGAGTTGACCCTATAGTGTAGTATTTCGGCACCGTGACAGTGTTTGTTTCTCTGGGGCGGTATTGTCCCATCTTGACACTAGAATAGTGCAGTGGGGACCCTGCCAATAGGTTCAGTCGGGTGCGTTGTGATACTGGGTGGGAACCACGGTGGGCCTTGAAAGCGATGCCACTTCTATGTATTCAGTGAGTCACAGTTCGGAATTGTATCCCGGATTAAATGCTATTTGAATTTTCAATAGTCGTGGAAGAACCACTGTAAGTAATGGCTTCCTACACAAACTCCAAACTCATTTCTGTACTTCAGTCATGATCCTAAGCATCGTTATGAATTTAAAGCCGTTTAGAAAGATTTAGATTTACTTTTAGACATTCAGAGCCCTCCTTCACAAACAAGCATACATGAGCTGTAAGACTAAACGTTAAATTAACATTTACACATTAGACCTCTCATTATTCGCATAACGGTATTCCCTGTTTGTATTAATTTCGTGGAATGTTTACGGTTGAAAGAGGTAATTTGATTATTGAGGTATAAATCCAACATATATATATTTTTCCGATCGTGAAAGGCCCATGTACACATGAATAGTGAAGGACTTAATAAGGTATACACATGAATTTTCAAAAAACAGAATAAACATCATGAAAACGTTCCTGGACTGAAAACAAGCGCTGAAACATTTTTAAGTTAAGGTCCCAAACATAATTCTAAAAACCGTATCAAATACATCGCCATAACAAAAACAAAAACATATATACTCATGCCAATAATGGTTGTCACCCCCCTCCTCACCCCAACCCACTTCCAATAAAAAAATTGAAGGGGGTGACAACCACTATTGGCATGAGTATATATTTTTTTGTTTCACGTCTATATGGTAAAGGAGAATACTGATCACTGGCCATGGTGGAGGAGTTTTCCGTTGTAAAAATATAATTTATATTACTGAATACCCTGGGAGATTCATTATTGGTGTCACTGCAATAACACTATAGCATAGGCTCAATAGCTACTAGAGAATAGGCTTATGGGGTAATATTTCAATCAATACTTCGTTTGTTTGGATTCAATTTCTTGCAATGTTTCCAAAACCTTCGATGTTTCTTAAATGAAATGTGAACGGAATCCCATGTACTTGAGCTCTGCTAAAGATCTGAGTGATTTGTTTGGAAACATATCAACATTATTGCGTTATTCAGGGGAGATTCTTGCCGGTCACAGCAGACATGCACGACCCTGCAGCATACACGGTATGGAGATGTTATGGATGAGGTTTCACTTTGCAGATGATGCAGGTTTCAGTGAACCTTTGACTTGTTACTCCGCTCTCGAATTTAATCACCAGGGTAGTCTTTGACGATTTGGCCCATGATTGTCATGCCAACACATAACTGTAAGGTCAAATATAGCATTTCGACAGCCACAGAGAAGGTCAATAAAATCTGAAAATCTCCTGCTTGTGTTAGCAATATGTTAGCTGAACAGTATGCACATACCCGAATGGGAACTTATGCTCCATCTAGCCCTAATCGAAGAAATCGAACCAGGATCTTTGATCACGCTTTGAACACCTGGCTACCCTACAATCCACCACATACACGACATATCGACAAGGAAGGTAATGAATGGAGATTATCCGGAACGTGTGACGTATGTGTATTTTGTGGTAGTAGAAGCGTTTTTCAAACATTACTTTATTCGCCTTTTCAAAGTCTGATTTGCGTATCATTGTCTAGTTCTATGTGGCATAAATAGCTACTTGTAGAAAGACAGTTCCTCACTGCCAAAAAGGGGTACTAATTACAGTGCCAGCCAGATGCACAGCTTAGGTCCTCGTTAAGCTAACGCAATGTGTAAATTATTTTACTTATGTGATAGCATGAAATGATTGATCGTAATCTTCGATAATATGGAACTGGTTGAAATAATGGACGAGTGCCAGATGTTTTGGTAAAGATGGCGCAAATAAAACATACTTTGAAAACACAAGTTCACACCCGTCATATTCTGTAACGTCAACGTTTCTAGAGTCATCATCAAAAGTCACCGGGTGGGATTTGATCGGAAGATTTTGATAAGATCTCAGCCTGTGTAAGCCCGCATTTCATCTGCCTCGAGTACCTTCTCAACTTACTGTTAGCCAGCAAAGTGGAGGACGTCTCTCCAAGACGTATTGAACCCTGGCTCTCTCTGAGTAGTTGGGTGAGCTAGAGCCGACGCCAAGATTGATAAGGCGCCGGGGCATAAAGCTTGTTTGGGTGCAGTTGGCTATAGGTTACACCTCTTAGTGTGTGGTCTCGCGGCTCACACACGATGAGCAATTACATTTTTTTAAATTCAAATTTTCGATTTAAGTACCAGTTGCAATATCTCATTGTCCCAAGTTCGGAACGAGTTATCGGCCTTTGATTTTGAGTGAACTTCAAATGAGGATCGAATAACACATCACTATGAAGTGGTGAAAAGGTATTGTTAAGACAGTGACGGCGTCGAAACATTCAAGATAAACCTTACCGAGTTAAATCATTCTCAGTTATTTTGCCTTAGATTCTGCATGATGAAGTTACATCGTTTTTGGAAGATCATTTAGAGGGTATCTAACAAAGGCGAGATGTTCACGCTTCCAGAGTAAGGTTTTCCCAGAAACAGCATCACATCCCCTCACTTTAAACTGACTGAAAACATGGAAGATGACCGTATGAGCGTGTGTTGATTATATATTGTGATTACAATAACGTGTTTTGGATATTCACACTAGTTTGTAGACATGTATGTGAACTATAATCCACATGTAGTTATCACCTTGACCTTTCATCCTGCATCAAACAGACACACTATGATGTAACTGATATACTGTTTCAAACCCCCGTCACTCAGTCACCAGATAGAATACAATATGTTATGGAACCGAGAGTAACAAAGCTCGTAAAACTGTCCTGAGTAACTGATCAGAGCAATGCTATTCTACACATCAATGTGTTATAAACGATAATCTTACCTTGGTGAGTGAGTGAGTTTAGTTTTACGCCTCACTCAGTAATATTCGAGCTATATGGCGGCGGTCTGTAAATAATCGAGTCTGGACCAGACAATCCAGTGATCAACAGCATGAGCATCGATCTGCGCAACTGGGAACCGATGACATGTGTCAACATAGCCAGCGAGACTGACCACCCGATCCTGTTAGTCGCCTCTTACGACAAGCATGGGTTACTGAAGGTTCATTCTAACCCGGACCTTCACGGGTCTTACCGTGGTGAGTCCGGATTAACGAGGTCTGGTCACTGTTCGGGGAGACGTGCTGTGCCAGGCTAGAACGATTCCTAATCAGTCTATTGCATGTCGTAAGAGGCGACTTAATTGGTGGATAGTTTGTCACTTCGCCTCAGCGACGTCGGATAATGCTCATGACAGCAACCACGAGTTTGCCTCGCCTCGACTGGATTATTACAGATAGAACCATAACCAGCCTTGTTTACTGCTCCGTTTTGATAGGGATACTAATATATTTACAAATACATACACGTTAAGCCACTTGAGTGAGTGAGTAATCATTTTACGTCACAGGGGCAATATTTCAGGAATATCGTCACGAGAAATGTTATATAAATATTAAATATAGTATGAATAAGAAACCCGTCATCTCTGGACAGTATAGTTACGAGAATATAAGGATGTAAAACTAGTTGAAAGCAGTTAACGGGAAACATTATTAATCAACAAGACGATATTAAAACGGGCTATGGATCGCCAGTACCTAAAGGTAGACCATCATACAATGGATCGCCAGTAACTAAAGTAGACCATCATACAATGGATCGCCAGTAGCTAAAGGTAGACCATCACACAACAGACCATGAACAGTTAGGAACAACAGTAACGTTATTAAACGTCGACAGTATACACTGTAATAAAAAGTAACCAACATAGTTATTTAGGCCATTTATTCGTAAACTGTTACAGGGGATACTGAAATGTATAAAATGATACACTTCCAAAAAAACTCAGTCTGAATATTTACAATGCATGAAGAATGATGATGTACAATATAAAACAACACTGAATATTTACGTGCAATATTCCTAGAATATACAGAGGTATCTGGCATAACAACGCATGTAATATTTTTTCATGAAGATAATGGACTTAAAAAACAACTTAAAATGATATAAATTCTATAAATGTTCCTTTAGGTATGCAACTGACTACAAAGTGAGCCAACCAAGACTCCACAAACACGAGGGCTCGTCACAACATGCAAAGAAAATTGATATATTTTACAAGACAAAGTACAGTCTAAGAAATGCATATTTAATTAAGCTGACTCACATACATAGACATTTAGTTAGAGGTACATCAAAATATATTAGATTTGCTTTATCGTGTTTTAATGGGTATGATACGTATAAGACCTTATCTAATATAAACATACTTGGGACATTAATGGTAAAATTACATCAAAACTGTACAGTAGCGGAATATTTGTCAATGGCAAAACTGGAATTGTTTAAATTATGAAGCAAAATGATAATTTCTAATGTCTAAAACGTAAAATATAACACAAACCAAAACACACATCGAAACATGCCAAATTCAATCATGGCGTTCCATTTAAGTATAAACTCGAACTCGAAAATAACAAACACAGAAACAGTTCTCAGGCATTGAAAAGCAAATAAAGTATTTTATAGACAACCGATCATTCAACGCCATCATTTACGTATGGAACCTCACTGATAAAATCACCAAGGTCCCAGACATTGCGACTTACCAGTTACAATCGGGGAATTTGAAGTGCTTGCTGATTTCTCAATACATTTTGTCTTTTCTCAAATCTTTTGCAAACCTGTTTTAATTTGCTGAACATATCTATTTGTGTTACAGAAAGTAATGGCACAAATGTCATTACACATTAAGAGATTATAGGCTATCATGTCAACATAGTTCTCAATGGATGGTGAAACAGAGGCACTATCATAGAGCAGTGAAGACTATATGCCTGTTATTTCTGCTTGACTCATGAAGATACTCGCAAAGCGGTAAAATCTTTCTATTTTTTATTTTCAACAATGCAGTATGTTTAATCAATCATCCTCACCTAAATCTTCAATAAACAGGTTGACAAGTCTCATTAACCTTCTTGGTGCATGACGAATAATTTCAGACAAATCAATACCCGAATCCCTGGTTAAAATTAATCATTTTTACATGTTCTTTTGTAACCAGCTGATGATGGTGTCTTGATATGTCTTCATCCAGTTGATGTTACTCTTGATGGTCTCCAGAGCCTGTTTGCGGGGTCTGTCGCCGGCACCAGCTTCAGGGTACTGCTTGAAAAACGCCTCAACCTGCAAAGTATAGTTTAGTGATGATTATCCGATGCATGTCCATCTCAAAATGAATATTAGTGAAAAATGTCGGTTTGATACCTCGGCTTCAAACAGATATTTTCTTGCATTGGATTTGAACAGATCAACTTGGAGTGGGACTGTAGAAAACAAGGTTGTAAATGGACTCCACACATAAGGTATTACTGTGTGGTGGTGTTCCATAACGCAAGTTTTATTGCGCCCCGATCAAATACAACCACGAGTTTAGCTATCGGGATCAAATCGCAGTGTATTTTCGGGATAAGTACGGATAGAACTTAGGTGGTAGACTTAGCAGGGACAGGTTTGATCAAATTGCGAGTAATATTTGAAGTGATAGTGTCACGTTTAGAGAAATAGAAATGGTTTCACATATATGTCAGAAGAAAATTGGTAGGAGTGAAAAACGGTTCAGAGAAATGCTTTCATTTATAATTTGGTTTTGATCAAATGTTGGATAGTTTAGGCAAATTGTGAAAGGTAATTTTTATACTGTACTATTCAAGCAAAAAATGACATTTGCGACAAAGAAAACTACGTCTTCATACTTCTCTTTGAGGTAACAATTTTTTATACATTTTGTGGCACATTTTCTTAAAATGCGAAAAGGCTTGGTGGTTATCCTCGTCCTCGAGCTGAACAAATCAAATGAAATATGTTTGTAGGGTAAGTAGATATAGCTGTAGTTTCTGGTTGTATAACCTGTTGGCTAAGCTCCTCCGATTACAAGCATATTAAGTGCTTCACCTGCACGACAAATACGGTCATGAACAATATAAGTATAGAAATCATGCCGTGAAAAATTATCTTGTCTGCACACATTACTACGACTTACTCCTTAATCGCCACTGTTAGTTTCCAAACAAAATGTAGTTTGCTTGTAAAATACGATGTGTTCAACTATAAACTTCAATCTGACACTAAGAGGATTTTTCAGTTGTTCTGTCGCTGAAAACAACCTGCCACCCGAACAAAACTTGTCTGTGGAAAAATTCAGCGGTATTACTTCTCATATTTTCCGGCACCTATTTATAACAATGGGATGGTCTTGTTGTATGTATAGAAACACAAGCGGTTATGTGCATATTTTATTTTTTGGATTAAATGACTATTGCACAGGGATTTTACAATCAATCAATCAACCAACTAACCAACAAACCAACAAACCCACTAACCAACCAACCAACCAACCAACCAACCAACCAATCAATCAACACATTGAAAAGACATAGGCCTATTACAGTTTGCATGGGAAGTGTCATATACACGTTTTTGATCAATCGTTAACATACAATTCTTTAATTCATTGCATGTCACAGGTTTGATATTTTTGGAAGACATTAGTGCAATAAACGTGGCGATGCTTGGTGGCTGGTACATAAATATTCACTTCGCATACAATTTTAAATCATCTTTAAATTCCTGGTTTATAACATTTACATATTTAATATATATTGTTCTTTTAATATGTGTGTCTATCTACCCTGTTCAGTGTTAAGAGTATGCGATGAACATCTTATTTACATAAAACTATGTTATAACCAGTGTATGAAATAAGCCCAAAACCCAGCCAGATATCAGGGCTGGTAACTTCAAATTGTTAACAGCCCAAAATGGATTTAACCAGACCAGACACCAAGAATTCACTCAGATGCATGGAACATCTAAAATTTGCACCAGACCGTCGGGCTGGCTAGCTGTAAATTTCAGAAATCTAGCCCATCTCGGGCGGTCGGTTGTGCCTTATTTCATACACTGTTATAACATGTGAAAATTTCAAAGATACTCTGCATGATTTTATATTTTAAACATTTTACATAATTCTTACATTTTGGTGAAAATAAGGGTGCGTAGTTCCAGTATATACAAATCCTTTGGTTATTTGGTGACTGTGTTATTCTAATGTTCAGGGTGTTCTACTTCTTACTTTGCCAGACATAACCAAAAACAAATTTATTATCAGTTTTCGTAATAGGTGAGACCCTGTCTACGCTTCTGAAACTATCATACAGTAGCATCATTTCATAACATTTGTTTGGATATCTATAGAACGTATGTGTAGTATATTTATCCTATCATTTAAAAGGTTTAACCTGTACATATAAAAATACAGGGAATGTACGACATTCGCCATACAGAATTATGTTTGGTATGTTTGGCTTAACGACATACATCTTTTACATGCAAGTATGTACTCTTTCAATATGATCTAACTTCGTCATTACAAATCATTACGATATCATCAGCAAACAGCGGGGGGAAAGACTTGTCCAATATCGGTGTGTAATTGTATACCACCTCACCATTTATCTCCTATTGGCAAATTTATCAATAAAGAAAGACAAGAGGAAGGGGATTAGTATGCATCCTTGTCTCACTTCCAAATCGTATTCAAATGTATTGCTGATATTACGATTACATCGCAACAAGCTTTCACCTTTTAACAATAATTTAGACATTTTATAGCTGCGGGCACGATTCTCAAGTATACACCACAGTTTATCTCGCCATATAAAGTCGGATGCCTTACTGAGGTTTACACAACTTTAAAAGTATACAATTTTCTTTGATATTTTTGAACATAGCGATTGCAAAGCGAAACTATTGTCTGTAGAAGCATTACTTTCTCTGAAGCAGCCTTGGGATTTTGCTATTTTACAATGAGCTTCAGCCCACAACACATGTCCCATATTGATGATGTAAAAGTTTGTTACAAATACTGTGTAATGGATGACGCCTCGATAGTTGTTTATATCGTAAACTAAACCTTGCCTATGAAGAGGGTGAATTATGCCAAGTGCCCAGTTTGTAGGAAATGTTAAATTTTCAAAACTAGCATTAAACAATATGTCAAGATATGGAGCAACAATATTAACTGAATGTGAACAATTATGGTATGACGTCATCAAGTCCAGGTGACTTGTTATTGTTTAAAATTATGATGCTTTCAAACACACATGTCTTGACACAGTAGTATCTAAAATACCTTGCAGAATATTACGCTGCTCATACGTCGGTCCCTTCATTGTTCTTATCGAATGCAAACAGTTCAGTACAATGTGTCAGTACCTATAGTGTTACAAACACCGCTTTGTTCCGTACAAGTTCTTCTTCTTCGACAAGCATTAAGCATCTGTAATGGGGCTTTTAGGTTTATCACGTTGTCTGTTATTTTATTCTATTGTTTCTAATTTTACACAAACTATGATAGGTATTTCTTGTAGTTTGTAGTTTACTAAAGAAAATGGATCAGCATTCTTTAGATATGCGAAATATATTCAGACAAATACATTTCTATTTTGGGAAATTCACAAACCACTTTTCTATAATAGCACCATTCATCCGTCTCTTCATATACATATCTGCATTACACAACGCTTCAACAAGATAAGTAACACCCTAATAACATCAGTAAGTGCCACCTCAAAATATTAAATTCATTATACTGCGTTAATCTGTACATTTTAGGATGGTTGAGCCTCTTGAAATTGTTCCGTCTTATTGTAATCCCACATACGTTTGTAAGATTTGCTGTTACATTTAATATCTGGTTACTGGTTACCCGTATATCCACTGAACGTTAACTAACTATAGGTGCAAAGATTCAAATCTGGTAACAATTGTAATGTCGGTACCGTGGTCAAATAATACTGCGGAACAAACAGAAGCGACGAAACCCTTTCCACATCCATAAGCAAAGCATAAAAAGCATAACCTATTACACTTGCACAAACAAATGTAAAATCTCCCTCATCTAGTGTGAGTGAGTGAGTTTAGTTTCATGCCGCTTTTACCAATATTCCAGCAATATCGCGGCGGGGGACACCAGAAATGGGCTTCACACATTGTGTCCATGTAGGGAATCGAACCCGGGTCTTCGGCGTGACGAGCAAACGCCTTAACCGCAAGGCTACCCCACCGCCCTCTCCCAATCTACCATTCATGATATGGATACTAAGTACTGGACTGATGGACAATGAACACATACCATAGTTTTTAGAACCTTATCACAAGATGTACCTGATACACTAAAGTGATCTAAGAGATACGTATATACTCAAAATGCTGTATATTTTAGTAATATCATCTTCAACATATATGAACATCTAAAAGATCTTCTTATAGTAATACAATGCCATTTTGCCAATGTAAACGGAGGTTTAAAAGACATCGTAAGTTTTATTTTCAATTTAAAATAATATCAGAGAGCGATATTACATGCGAAAAGAATTATACTGATGGTTCGTCAGCAGTCAAAGAATACTTCTATATGATTTTATTTCCAAAACATTATTTAACTGAAAATTTGAAAGAAATGAGTGGTGTAATATACTGATAGGTACTAGTATCTTTAACTTCTTATATTGTAAAATTCAATCAATTTTCTTTTTTCTTTTTACACATTTACAACATTTCAACATGTGGTTGCAAATTCTTTTTTGACCTCCATCTTAAATGAAGCAATTTGTTTAACATAGAATAATTAACCACGCACAGATTACTTTTTACAAATGCATGAACTAGTCTTGGTTAAAATTACCATTAATCAAATCTAACAACAGACATAATTTTTCGGCTGTATAAACTAAGGCATATTTTCCCTTTCCCATCACCTTATAGTTCTATATTTTCACCGTAAGACTGAGAATTGAGTACAAATGGATGTATTTAAAGAAAAACCTGAGCAGATCAGCGAGCAACGATTGTAACTGACAATACATTTTCAATGGGTATTTGTAGCATTTTAATTTTATTTTTTAAAATTTATTGGTAATATTCACTTGACTATGTATGGACACCATATTGATATTATAAGATTTGAAGAGATTGACATTAAAATTAACAACACGGAAATTGGGTGGACGGGTGGATTTTATGAGCGCTTCATTAGGTCAGCGACAATTTCAACAATGCGATAATAAGCGCCTGACTGAAAGGTTTCAGGTCGTGCTTTGTCGTCGGATGCGGGTGACAGGCAACTCAGGGCAGTTCCTTAATTGTAGCCTCGTGCAGAATAGATGCTAGACATTATAAGGTCATGGGTTGATTTGATGTGACTAGTGAACAACGTATTTATCTTACCGAACACCACAATGTTAATTTTGAACTGTTTGAAGCATGGGTATCGGATCATGATAAGGAGTACCAGAGTTAGGCAATTAGCATATACCAGCAACGACAGACGAGTTATCTCCCTTCCATCGACTTGCATTCGCAAAATATCGGTAATTTCCGTACATCATACGTGACTCAGTTATTCGAGATAAAGAATTATTAACAAGAAGTAACAAATGAATTCCCACAGCTCGGCATTTCCAGCGAGTAGCACAGAAAATGTTAGTCGCTTGTAAGCGGGGTACATTGAAAATCATAGAAGAGCGCTCAGACAATCAGAAAACAACATTTATGTGTGAGGTAAAATAAATTCTATGGGCATCCTTATGGAAGATCGGTTCACTTACTTCAGTCAGCTTAAACTCAGTGTTAAAGTTCTTGATGATGTTTGGGACCATTCTGCCGAAGGACCGGGAGTACAGGGTGAATCTGCAATAGGAGAAATGTTGCTCATAATGATACTCAGACACATTATAGATGTATGACCTCAGCCTGTAGGCAGTCGACTCCAGACAGTCCTGTGATTGATCTGGTGAAGAGATCAACGCCGTCGGGTGCGAAATAACGAAACCGAGATTTACCTACCGACTCATTTGTACCAGCACGGGTTTCTGGAGACAAGTTCCAACCCTGAATCCAGCGGAACGGTAATTATACGTCACCGATTCACGATAACGATGGTTTAACAATCAACCGATTTACGTTAGTGAGTGAGTAAGATTTTACGCTGCTTTTAGAAATATTCCAGCAATATCACGGGGGACACCAGAAATGGACTTCACACACTGTACCCATGTGGGGAATCGAACCCGGGTCTTCGGCGTGACGAGCCAACGCTTTAATCATTAGACTACCCCACCGTCCCTCAACCAATTTAAAAAGTATATACTTGCGCTGAGGAGTTGCGTCAGAATCCACCCTACCCATGTGACACCGTCGTATGTAAACATGTAACCTTCTTTTTGAGAGAATAGCACTTTAATACGGCAACGAAATCGCTCCTCTCACCCAGAATATCCCCTGCATTGGAATTAGTAGTGTTACAGTAGCAGGCACCTTGGGTTACATGATTCACAGGGAGTTGAGGATACTGTTGACGACAGACCCGTTGAGGGAGGAGATAAAGACATCATACGCTTTCGGAGCTTCTCCACAATAGAGCGTCAGTTCTGACTGTTATTGTTTGTTATTTAATAAAATAGAAAGAAACAAAATGAAAAATAATGATGACGTTAATGATGATTATGATAACAATTTATGACAAATTATGACACTACTACTAATACTGTCAATCACTTGGCTGTCTGGTACAGACTTGATTATTCACAGACCACTGTGACATAGCTGGCAAACCGCTGAGTGCGACGTTGAACAACAAACAAAATACTACTACTACTACTACTACTACTACTACTACTACTACTACTACTACCACCACCACTACTGTCTCAACAATCAGAAATACTTTATCATCATCGTCACCATCATAGTTATCATCATCGTCAACATAGTTGACGTATCTCGTGTTACCTGCCAAGCAGCTCATCGTAGTTTTCTCTGGCCCAGTTCCATATGATGTTGTTACCGACAGGGTTAAGGTTGACGTAGCTCATGACGGAGAAGAAATCCTGCTGGCGGATAATACTCTCGTTCTTTGCATAGTCCAGATACCTGAGGTCAACAACGTCCTCAGTAAATCGCAATGGACAATACATGTAACACCAACGTGAAATTCTATATCGAGCGATACATACGTACAGAACATGCAAAGGGTACTAACGAGTCAATGAATACGTTAGTACATGACTTACATTATATCGTGGCGGGGCAGTGGGCAGTGGGCAGTGGGCAGTTAGTTACGGATATTTTAGACGTTATCTAGTTTGAAAAAACATGCAGTTGCCAAACGAATTGTCGCAATAAGAATCCACAGATATTGTCACGGCTAAGGGGCGCAACTCTACTCTCTGTCTCATGCGATAACGGCCATATACGTAATGGTGAAATGCAACTTTCGGATTAATGAAAATTACATTCAGATTTATTTGCTTCATTTAAGCTCGTTAAATCCAGGGAACAAAAGTTTAATAATATTTTTTTCCAAAACTTGTAATCTAAGGCCAAATAAAAATATTCTTGTTTCTCATAACGTTTTAAACAAATATGGGTCGGGCGGGCGGATTATATTTTGACAAATTAGTTTATTTTATGTCCAAACCCCCTTGATTTCTGTGGAACTTTACACCTTTTATCCGATAGAAAACCAAAACTTAGAAGTGTGAAAAATCATGCACATTTTGAGAGTCTATGTTACATTTTATCTAGTGTAAAAAATAAAAAAAAGCCTTAGGGTTGGGTCGAATATTTGAGTTGGGCGGTAATGAGAAACAATAATATTTTTTATATATGTCCCAACACATATCAGTGTGTCATGGCGTACCTATGGAGCAGCCACACTGTTCTGGTCTGAGCCAAAGCGTACAGGAAGTTCACTCGCTCCTGAGGCACCGACTCAGTCTGGTACTTCTGCCACATTTTGTCCCAATCTGCGACACTTCCGGAGCTGCGCATTCCGTATTTGTATACACGTGGCCGTAGGTTGGGAGATATCCTGTATGGGTAAATAATGAACAGGCATGATTGTGGCTATTTCCAAGAGAGTCCATGAGGTAAAGTAAAATGATAAATGTTTAGATACAAATATACGATAATATTATTAATTGAATATAACAGAGTTCTGAAAACACGTATCTAGTGATATGCACAAAGCCCAGTAACAAGGACACATTGGAGTACATACGGAACAGGTTATAAGGGACAGACCATTTAATACACACATTCCACACTAATTTCCTTATAGCAATATTATTTTCGAAAAAAAGGGAAAATACACCCCTATCCCACTCCCATCCCGTAAAAACGAAAATACATGATCAGTCGGTTCCGTGTGAGGACTGAAAACCAACCGAGTCAAGCTATACTATTTTGAGCATAAGGCCTTTAAGCCTATACAAATCAGTACAGCATAACAGCACAACAACATAGCACTTTTGAACTCAAGTACCGTACACAAAAATGTCATCACTGTTAAGTGTAGCTAAAACACATAGTAGCATACTTACTGTACTTATATTTATAATCCATACAATATTTTATACTTACTCCACGCCATTATCTAGCCAGTTCCTGAATTTGGCAGTGGCATTACCAAGACATTCTACATCGCCGTGTCCACATGCAAGCTCAATGAGGTTTCTTCTCATTAACCTGAAAACGAATATACAAACTTGTGTTGATTGGGTAAACATTTTCTAAACTGTTTTATATCATGACAATAACGTAATATGTTTTCGGAGTTTCAGGTTCATGTAGAGCTGAGGTGTGTCATTGACGTACTGGCAAATACGTGACCGTGTGAGTGAATAGTGTTTGATGCTATCATTCAGTCATGACAAAGCAATGATTGATAACAGGATGAACGATTCACTTCATGGAGTACATCGGCACGGACACATCTTCAGTTTCATGGTAGGTGGGAGGTTGGGAATTGTGGAAAATTGAACCTCATATGGAAATTGTGTACAAGAACTGATGTATCATGGGTCTTACTTATCAAGATGGCTGCCGGTGTCTTCCCATCCTAGTCGGTCCAGGGCTGGTTTTACTTTGGCCAACACATATTGCTGTCGGGGTAAAAAGCATTGTAGTATTGTATTACAGCTAGAAAGATGCAATAAACAAGCGAATACGTATATCTCAAGAATGAAATTGAGCACACACACCGGATCGACCATGGTATCTTTGTCCTATGGAATTTGTTTCGAAAGAAATCCCAACCCGACACATTCACTTGCGGACGGGTGACGTGCATGTGCGAACAATATAGTGAAATACAGTGGTTGAAATGCATATTATTCACAGTTTTATTTATTCAAAATACATAATAAAGTTAATAAGCTAGTAAAGATATAAAATTCCACAATGTCTCAGCTATTAGGAGACGATGTAGGATGACATCCTTAAACATAAAAACACCATGACATTGTGTACACTTTCGGAGAGAATTAAAGATAAAAATTAATGCTGTATTTAGCAGTATTCCAGCTACTTCGCATGGGCCTGTAATTAACTGAGTCTGGACCAGACAAACCAGTGACAACTTTTGTAATAAAACACCGCATAAGAGTGTTTTGACACGCAATACCACAAAGGACATCTAATTAACCCATCTCCTTTTCAGCAGGCTCTGACAGCAAGCATGATATACATGAAGCCATTGGCCAGTAGGCCACCTACCCTCCACAAGCCAAAGCTACCCCCACTTCTGAACATCTTTGTGATGTAGGCCATGCCGGTGTAGGCGCTCTCCCAAGGGATGTGATTGGTTTCCTTGTCGAGGTATGACGTCATCTGTAGAGCTACATCGTAGTTTAGGAGGCCTGCACGTGCAAGATTCAGCGCGTCGTTAATAAAGGCAGATCTGTCGGCGACGGAGATTGGGAAGTTCTGGAGGACGCAAACATATCATGAAGAAGTTATATATTTGAAGTTATACATGTGTATTTTTCAGTGGTATCTGAAAAACATTGAAGTGTTCCTGTCCTTCACTGTTTAGATGCAAGATTAGTGTTATACCTTGAGCAAAACATGTTTGTATTCATTGTATGAAAGCCATAGCTCCGATGCTGCTACACTCAAATTTAACTCGAAAAGGCTGCGATTCGCAGCGCAACACTAGCAATGTCCTGACTGTCCCGGATTGTGTAACAGTATTTAAAAAATGCTCGCAAAGGTGTTACTTTGTGGACTGAAAACAAATAGTCTTACAGAGGGATTGCTTGTAGCCAGGACGGTGGCAAACCTTCTCCAAATGTCATCAGGGTAGGTAACTCTGTAGAAGCCAGTCTGGTTGACGTTAAATTTGATCCATTGAGATTCATCTGTCATATCGACGTTAAGATCAATCGTTTCAACTGCAATGACAATATGAGAACAATACAATTGTTATAATTGCCGATCAAACATCTACAATTGTTATACATCGACTAGCTATGCACATTAGAACCAATATTTATTGAATGAAATCAAATCATATGTGATGCCGATAGTCAACTGTTCGCGATGATATTCATTACACTGGTTTTAACATAGTCAAATCAAGGCTGCAGTGTTAATTATAATGAAGAAGAAAGACATAGGGAAAGACAGATTCGTTGGGGCCAAGTTTGAATCCCACGGTTATTCTATTTGTGATCTGTGGTTTGCCCAGACTCGATCTGTTCTCGGTTGTCTACCTTTACGACGATCCCCTATTTTCTGCTTCCTTATATATAGCTGACATGCAGTTCAAGAATACACGATTCTTTCATTTTACTATGATTAATATGTCATGCAAGGACAGATTAACTAGAGTAATCCGAAAGAATCTGGCGCTCTTTAAATTCATTTGAGTAGGGGAGTTGGGGTAGCCTAGTGGTTAAGCGTTCGCTCGTCACGCCGAAGGCCCAGGCTCGATTCCCCACATGGGTACAATGTGTGAAACCCATTTCTGGTCTGGTGTCCCCGGCCGTAATATTGCTGGAATATTGTTAAAAGCGGCGTGATGCTAAACTTACTCACTCACTCATTTGAATACTTTAGCATATATTCTACCATCCCTTTACACCAACATCTTCGCAACTATTATCAACTCACTATATCAGCCAGGTGATTCTGATCAGAAAAGAAAAGAATATTAAAGAAGCTGTAGTTATTGCCGACATTAGTGTGAATTGGTCATAAGTCGGACAACAGTGTGTTTACGCCTTCGACAAATCTACATCACCATGAAGTAAATGACAGAACACCCAACATAAAGGATACTAGACACTACTATCCTACCTTCCGTCATGTCCATTATCTTGGTCCCTGTTGATCCATTGGAAGTGATGTAACTCAGGGAGATGTACCATTTATACCTGGAGAAGAAAGAAAAAACATATTTAATATTATGTACTTTTTAAACTACTTTGTAAGACGAAACAATTTTGACCAGTGAAGATCTGGGTTAGAACTGATCTTCAGCAACCCATACTTGTCGTAAAAGGCGACTAACGGGATCGGGTGGTCAGGCTCGCTGACTTGGTTGACACATGTCATCGTATCCTAATCGATGTTCATGATAGTGATCACAGGATTGACTGGTCCAGACTCGAATATTTACAGACAGCCGCCATACAGCTGGGATATTGCTGAGTGCAGCGTTAAACAACAAACCAACCAAATTATTAGTTAAGCAATTTTAAATACCAGACACCACATACAGCTATACGGTTTCTTTAGTCACGGATAATCTTTAAAGTTATTCATGTGATTATAGCTTAGAGACCAAAACAATAATATATTTTGGAATGGTCTAATCATTTATATTCTACTCCTGTATTCCTGTGCCCCGTTCCTCGAAGCGATCGTTATCCTAAGATGATTGTGGCTCCCGTACTTTAACATCTAAGCTACGACAGTCGTAGCGCGACGATAGCTTTGAGGAACGGGCCACAGATTTTTGTAATGTATGTTATTGCACAAATAAGTACTACTAGTGTTACAAGGCACAGCTACCGCTGTATGACATTAGACGCAGAGAGACACGTAACCGATCACATTTTATCACATACTGTGGGAACACGTAATCTGAACGGTAAGTATTTCTCCCCAAAGAACGGTATGTAGTAATTGATAAATTGTTACTGATTCCCTGGCATCCGATTGTATACGCAGATGATGATGATGATTTGAAGATTTAACATGCGCTTTCCGACATAATGTGCATTTCGCACACGGATGTACAACCATGATTTTTTAGCTTCACGTTAAACCTGTGGCCCACTAAACGGACAATTATTTTGTGATTGGCTGATTACAGAATAGGCGGGGCGTGTGTTGCTTTGCTGTGCTGAGCTGAACGATCTCACAAACAGTTGCAAACAGTTCTTTGAATGATGTAATAAAATAATCAGTCTTTCCACGGAGTAACACTATACACATATTGGCGATATTTACTTGAACTCCGACTCGTCGACGTCATACAGAGCTTTGGGGTCTGAGAGGTAACGTTTCTGCACGGCTCTCACAGTCGTGCCCCCGCTTGACGACGGCTGGAATGTCACGTTGACGTAAGGGAGTCCCATCTGACGAGTCCACGTATCCATAATGTGCTTGACATCCGGGGCCCCTGGAACCTAGTACATTGCAACCATAGTCAAATATCACTTTCAAGTTGATTTACGTTTGACGTTCATGTGTTTCTTGCTTAACGCGACATTATATGACAGCTGTGAAAACCCAGTGCCTTTTAGAATGTAGTCTACTAACTGTTATGACAATGGACTCTTCTCACTATTTCCTCAGACTGATCATGATCAACACGGATGGCTCATTTGACGTCGCCTCAGACTAGCAATACATGTAATTGTTTACAGCGAAATATCGTATTTTTAACAATATTTGTATTCTTTCTTTGAGAGACATTTTAGAAGTTGACGTATAGATGAAGGAAAACCAAGTTCTATGGATAGTCAACTTCTTTATTGCAATGAGTGCGACGTTTCGGTGTAGGAGCTAACACCGTTATCAAGCAAGTGATAAAGGTGTTAGTACCTACACTTGCTTGATAACGGTGTTAGTACCTACACCGAAACGTTGCACTCATTGCAATAAAGAAGTTGACTGTCCATACAACTTGGTTTTCCTTCAATATTTGTATTCCTTAAGAGTAACTACACCCCAATATTTCCAGTTCGACCTCATCCTAATGATCATATTCCGGTTCGACTTGAACTAAATAATCCTGTCCATACCCCGATAAAATGCCTGCCTTATGATCATTGGTTCGAATCCCGTTTAGACCTGATAACGTTGACAGAGCAATTTGAAATCGCACTCGTGAATTCCACCAAATGTTTCACATCCTTACTGTTCAAAGTAGCGTCTTCCAAACCCATTCACCAGATTGAGTAATACATGTTTTTTTTGTTTCTGGTGCCGGAAATTAAGTACTATTGATGTTTTCAACCAATGTATAAGTTCATTGCAATAGATAAGAAGTTTAAGTAATAATAAGCTTTTTCTGTGTGCCTCGCGGCTTGCATAGACCAATCTGCTGGCATTGTGTCAAAACAGACACAAACAGAGACAAAACTAATAAAACAAATGTATCTTACCATATCTTGAAACTACATTGTACATGTTCAGACAGTTATCAGCATTTAAACAGTAAAGTGATCTTTCACCGGAATCAGTGATCAATTCCCTTCTTTCAGTGCCTTAATTCGATTTAGATTAAGTGATTGCATCTATTTTCGGACACATTTAATGTTGAATGAATGATATGTACCTTTTGAACCCGTTTTATGGTATTTCAACAATTCACTGTATCACCAGTTGTGTCCCTTCTGCGACACAGTGATTGAAGCGAAGTAAAATATAGGGGATAGGTTCATAAAAATGCCAAGATTATACCATGTATAAAACTGTAAAAGGAGCAGTCTTCTCGGGGGAGTCGGGTTTCAGATCGTTGGGATCGTTTGAGTAATTAAGTGTTTGATGATATTGAAAACGCTGACAACACTACACAACCCTGTCCGTAACTTATGACGAGCGGTCGGGAATGTATACAGTATGACATCAGTTACCTCCCCTAGTGCTTGCCACAAATCGTCAGTCTTTGCGTTGCCCCACTCATATTTCTTCAGATATTGCTGAAACGAAACAAAAAACACCATAGCTTACTTTCTAACATGTAAGTATGCAGATGCACCATTCGAAAGGCATCAATTACCCTGTTTTTGAGTTCTAGTAAGGTTTTGTCTCTCAGTGTACGATCCACGACAAGTGCGTTCATGTCAATTCCAATCAAAGACATGTGGCAACTTTGTTATTTCTGGCCTGATGGAATGAGGAACGATAATGTTAATAAAAGATGCATTGCTAGCAGTTACCACATGTGTGGGTATTGATCGTTACGTGTAATTATAGGTAATGGTAATTAAGCAGTTTTTAGATTGGAGCGCTGCCAAATCAAAGATCTAATAGTTTCCCGGTGCCAGTACTTACTGCGATTCCTTCAAAGAATTTGTCCTTTCCCATAATAGACTGCAGCATCGCGATGACGGCAGCGCCCTGTGAAGATTACATAAAAAAGAATATATTACACAATGACAATGCCACTGTTTTATTGTCCATTGGCCCAACGTGTGATTTTAATGAGATTGCATGGTTAATCTTCAGTAAACCTTAGATATCAACTTAAAGGCCTGTGTACATATATTATCTCAATTCCATCCCAATTTGAAATGAAGTATAGGTTCAGTGACAATATTTAGGTCTATCCTATGAATACGCATAATTTGAAGCAAACGTTCTTCCCATCTTCGTAGGTGAGGTGAGGTGAAATTGGGTTTTACGTCGTGCTTGAGAATATTTCGCTCATATGACGACGTGCATGCGTGTGTATGTGTATGTGCGGCTGCTTGTACTAGCCCAGACTTAAGCTGGTTTTATAGTGCTAGCCCACTGAGAGACCATGCCGCAGTGAAGCATGAATACCCCACTCAGACACATTATACTGACTTCGAGCCGACCAGTCCTTGTTGTACCCATTAATGCCGAGCGCCAGGCAGGGACCAACAAGTACCATATTTTAACGTCTTTTGGTATGACGCAGTCGGGGATCAAACCCGCGACCTTCCGCTCTGCGGGCGGACGCTCTAACCACTACATCACGGAGATGGTCGCATCTATTGTGGATCGATTTGACAGTTAAAACCCTTTCTTGATTGAATCCATTCAGTAGTACAATAAGCAAACGATTAACGCACGTAGGCCATAAAATACGGAAGATTTTGTTTTTCACATGAGGATGTAAACAACACATTAAACCCAATCTATAATATTCTTCAGTATCGAACTTGTTCTAGCTGGACTGAATTAATTCACATTCCTGAACTTTCAAAACTGTCAATGAAATTCCAGTACTTTCGAACTATTCAATAGTAAAAGGGCAACATCGATCAACATTATAATGTATATACCAATATAGTTGTTTTGTTATAATAAAAAGACATTGTAAAGAATAGAGTCTTTATCACTAAACTATGATGTACCACATAAACGTGACGTTCGGCGGCCCTATGGTCCTAGGACAACACAGTGTACAGGCTGATGCCTCTTAGCAGCAAGGACCTTCACGTGATGGGGCCATTGAGTGAGTGAGTGAGTTTTACGCCGCACTCAGCAATATTCCAGCTATATGGCGGCGGTCTGTAAATAATCGAGTCTGGACCAGACAATCCAGTGATCAACAGCATGAACATCGATCTGCGCAATTGGGAACCGATGACATGTGTCAACCATGTCAGCGAGCCTGACCACCCGATCCCGTTAGTCGCCTCTTACGACAAGCATAGCTTTTGTGGCAAGCATGGGTTACTGAAGACCTATTCTACCCCGGATCTTCACGGGTCGATGGGGCCATTGCGATTATGAGTAACATTATGTTGTGTCATAACTGTTGAATTTATCCCTCTCACACACTCACTCACTCAATCAGTCAATATCTCACTCACCCATTGACGAAATATTTTCACTCAATCATCCGATCAATATCTCACTCAATACTTTGTGGAAGCCGTGGTGGCTGAGCGGTCTAGGCGTCTGACTTTGTGTGCTGGCGATTATGTGCCTTACTCTGAGGGTGTGGGTTCGAATCCCGGATGGGACTCAACCCAGAAAGTACTAGAATCTGTACTTTACTAAGAAAGTGTAATCCCAAATATGACATATGTTACATTTGACCACCTTCTAAAATGGCATTGTGTATTTCAATACTTTGTCCTTCTCATCATTCGCTGTATGCTTGTTTAATTGTAATAATACTGCATAAAAGTTTCTTCTCGTCACAAATGATAAAATACATCCCCTGGGTATAAAACACCTAGTTAGGAAGTAGTGGTGTGACGATTCATCGATACGCATCGATGCATCGATCCATGGGCCGCCGATACAGTGAATCGATACAAAGTTTTACATTGTCGTATATCCCGATACAATACTTCAAATGGGCCACGATACATCGATGTTTAACTTTGAATATTGACGAATCGCGATATCTGTCAAGAAAAAAGAGTTACTTTTGTTTGATGATTAAAATATTTGCTTACTTATTTTCCCTTCATAAGTAAACGTTTTCTCAGAAATTCTTGCGTCAAAAACTGTGTCAGACATACAGCTCCCATGTTGTTAACACGCACAAGGTCTGTGTATAAACTTAAAAATTAATTGTCTCGTTTCCGAATGAACATTGAAAAACGCTGGCGGAATTTGACGAAATTCTTTAAAATGGTTTTGTTTTGATCTTAAGGTGTTTTACAGTTGGTGTTAAAATTAAAGATTTTAGTATCGTGAACCGTATCGTATCGCCACCTTTATATCGGGATTCGTATCGTATCGCAGCTTCAGTGCACAACACAAGGCAATATAACGTCATGACTAAACGTTTAGTATTGAGATATATCGTATCGCAGGTTGTATGCCAATACCAGCACTATTAGGAAGGCAGCATATTTGCATCCATCCTCGATAATCATACGTTCCTATAAATCTCAACTAGTGGACATGTGTCGGAACGCATACCCTGGAGATTATCGAGGATGGATGGCATCCCTACACATCTACAAAACATACAAGTCACTTTAACACTGCAGACAACTTGGGAAGGACTGCAATGCGCGTTGGTGAAGAAAGCATTTCTGTCATCGCGTAAAAAACACTAATTAGGTCTGATCTTTCTGTAATGCATCAGATTCTTGAAATCAATTACTTTGATAACACAGTGCACAGCTGCGGTTAAGATATTCTTTGATAAAAGACGATGATTAGTTTTATTGATTGTGAGATTAATTAACTCAACGAGCGTGTGGTATTGTAGTTAGCAGATTCTTTTGAAACAACCGACGAACTAATTTGGTTATGGACAACGTAAGATGTATGTCGGTAGACTTATCTGTAAATGAAATATCACAATAACAAGCGGTCGACGGCACAGACGAGTTACGCCCCTTAGGTAATTTTGTATGCGTTTGTCGACTGAACGATTCGTAACCTATTGTGTTCTTGCACATAAAACTAAATTGAGCTGCTGTCATACTTCAGCAGAATAACTCCCGTCCCTCACCTTGCTGTATGAGATGCTGTCAAAGACGGCGTTGATTTCGGTGGGCTTATACACGGGGACGACAATTGGATGTGACTCCAGCCCAGCATCCGTCACCATCACAGGCTGTAGATCCTCAATGCCGAACTGGGCCATCTGGAGAAAAGGACATGGTGTCATATGTAGTGCATGCTGACCGTGTCTGAGATTGGTACCTAATCAAAATATGGACCAAGAGTATCAGTTGGTGTTTTTGCGGCATTGTCGTAAATGGTGCCTTCATCGTATCCAGCATGGAGCCAGTTTGAATGATAAAATAAATGTGAATGTAATTCTAAATTTAATTTGAAAATATATTCTTAAATCTAATATGTTTTAAAGTGTATGGAGTTAAATGCATTGTATTATTTTATTTGAATCATTTGATCTATTTCGTTGAGAAAATGACCGGATATTTCCCAACACTGACGCTGCACATTTCAGATCTTCAGCATTCTAAGGGGCTTCACCTGGCTTAATTGATGGGATGGATTACCCGATTAAACATAACATCCTTTGTTTGTCAACTCCTCGGGTTCACCAAACAGGCAAACGTCCATGACCGGCATTATGTTATCAATCCATTAAACCTGAAACACTGAACTCCTTAAATACCGTTACAAGAAGCGTTAATCCCTTATCACTCATCTGAGAGATGCTCGCATACTGACCATATCCCAGTCCCGCTCGTACGTGTCCACTCCCAGATACTCCATGAAGCTCGCGAAGCCCTCGTTGAGCCAGAGGTCATCCCACCAGTCCATTGTGACGATGTTACCGAACCACTGAATGGGAAGAACGTTACATACACTGTGAGTCACGTACAACTGACCAGATAGCTCAGGTGATGCAGGTAGCAGTCAGAATGTCTGGCTAACATCGTTGCAATTAATCATCTCTTTGAAGATACATCGCTATTTCAAACAGTAAATGCCCTTGAAGAATGGTTTCCGGTTAAACAACGTAACAAAACATCTCTTAGAATATACAAACAAAAAATTCAAACCGTAAATGCCAGGAAAAGGGGAATCCAGATTGACAACGTACCACATTATCATCTCTTTGAATATTCGTAAACATTGCAAACAGTAAATACCCGGAGAGATGGTTTTCCAGACTTTTTCCCTGGTCAAGACTAACGGGACTGGATTGTGTATAGAACATGAACGACATGTTGGTTGATTGTGTCAGAGTCCGGATCTACCTTTTTCCGTTTGACTCTCACTCACTCACTCACACACTCACTCACTCACTCACTCATGGGGCGGTAGGTAGCCTAGTGATTAGGCCTTCGCTCCTCATCCCGAAGACCCGGGTTCGACACCCCACATGGGTACAATGTATGAAGCCAATTTCCGATGTCCTCCGCCCTGACAATGCTTGAATAGTAAAACGGGGTAAACCTAAACTCACTCTCACATTAACGCACGTACTCACTCACACATATTCTGTTTCTCTCCACGACATGTATACATTATAATTTGTCTGAAAATGTTCTTTCTTGACAATATGTCAACATGTCGACATATTGGCACTTTCGCCAATTCATTGAATGTGACTTGAAGTGAAATGACGATCAAAGTTCGCCTATAGAGATATGCCATTATTTCGCTTAAGACAAACGTTTTGTCGAATTATAAAATATCTTGCAGAATGTACTTTAACCTTAAAGCCTTAAAATTCTTATGAAAACGTTACACAAATACTTCCAACCAATCTGACTGCACTACGCGCGTAAATTATGATACCAATGCAAACGGTAATTATTAGCAAAGTAAATTATGATCATTTTCAAAAATCGCTAAGATCTTGTAAATGTCATTTGTCCAGCAACTCTGGCACATTTGCTTTGGTACACATGAAGTACACTTGGAACAGCTTTTCTCCTTTCAAAGTATGGAGTTCACTGACCTTGCAGTGAACGAACGCATTTTCCGGGGTCTACTTACTCTGGGGAAATCAAACCAAATAACAGTGTTCTCACGTCGCTTTTTGTATTCAGAATCCTTGTGTTTCATGTCTAACATACTGAGGCATAATGTTACGGTGTGATGTTTTCGGTCAGAGAATCTGGGCTTCATTCAACGTTTTCCCTGAGGACAAGCAATTAGAGGATGTTTCAGAACTACGACACTAAGCGTGAAATTAGGTTGGTTGAAATTGGATGTGTTGGGCTGATGAACGTTACATTAACTAATGCCTATTGCATTGTTACATGATACTTCGTGGCAACTCATTGCGGCTTACTGAGGACTCGACTCGACTCAAAACCTTTAGCTTTTGAATTTTTATGCAGCCGGAATTAGGAAAATCAATAAAATGTTTTATAAATATTACCACAAATATCTCGTTTATAATTAATAGGACACATGTTATAATTAACACGGCACAATGATGTGCGTGTTTAAGTGAATGCCAGCAATAACCATAAGGTATATGTTCACGTCCTAATGCTGAAGGTGACTCTTTGGTGAGGTGAGGTGAGGTGAGGTGAGGTGAAATTGGGTTTAACGTCGTGCTTGAGAATATTTCGCTCATATGACGACGTGCATGCGTGTGTATGTGTATGTGCGGCTGCTTGTACTAGCCCAGACTTAAGCTGGTTTTATAGTGCTAGCCCACTGAGATACCATGCCGCAGTGAAGCATGAATACCCCACTCAGACACATTATACTGACTCCGAGCCGACCAGTTCTTGTTGTACCAATTAATGCCGAACGCCAGGCAGGCATTGTTAAAGAGAAGGTGACTGTTTAACAATGATGAATCCAAGCACTCTTGTGTTTGTATTTAGGAAATCGCAGACTTAATGATCATATTTATCTCTACAAAGTACATGTTCATCAAGCCAGAAATTGTATTGACACTTCCAGGAATTAGAACTTACGATCAGAGGTAATTGCAAAATTTATTAACGAATCTTGATCAACAGATCAGGAATATTTCACCTGTGGGGCTGAAGGGGCAGTGATCATCTACTCTGTACAATGATCCGCAAACCAAGCATGAACCTACTTGGAATGAATATATTCTATGTGGGTAAAAGTAAGAATGTCAAAACGGTGGAAGATGTATGGGTATCACGTTGTCAGTCGGGTAAATGACGAGCTGGATGAAGATCAATGCATGGGACGGAAGTGGAAAAATATACCAAGACCTGCATCCATCATTGTCATGTCCACACACAGCAACACACATCGGACAGAAGCTGCACACAATGTCATGAAACTGTAAGTCTACATTGAGTAACGACTACTGAACTTCGACTCCAGTGTATAGTGTTCTCGCCTGTTTTCACAAGTAAAACCCCTTAATCCAGACCAGTTCACCAATTATCCAATATCCTGGTTACTTAATCACAAGAGCATAGTAAGAGACCGTTCATAATGTATGGCTAGGGGCTGTGATGATGATTTTAAGGGGGGATGGCTGTGGTGGGGTGTCACCCATTTTGTTCTGGGAGGTAGGGGGGCATAAAATTTGTACACATCTACGAGGGGAAGGGGGCAGCAATTTTGTACACACAAATATGAAAAATATGCTTAAAACTATTGGGGGTGGGGTAATTGGTGGGGGTCACTTACTTTATATATAGATTTTTTTATTTCCTATTTCTTTCTTTTTTTGGGGGGGTGGGGTATGATTTACATTGTACATGCTTCTCCATGAAAATCCTCATCACCCCCTGGCCATAAATTAAATTATTGGTCTGTTACTTGTACATAAACGTGCCCAACGACTACGTCCTGATTGCGAGGATTTGTCATTTGATTGATACTAACATCAAGCGTTTGTCTACGGTACCTGATGGGCAATTTCGTGGGCCACGACCACAGCAACTCTCTGTTTGTTGGCCGATGAGGCCTTGCTGGGGTCATACAGTAGGTTGGTCTCTCTGTACGTGATCAAACCCCAGTGTTCCATAGCTCCAGACACAAAGTCAGGGATCGCTATCATGTCTGCAAGGGAAGATATAATGCAGATTGGACTTTTGATAAACTATAGCGTATATTTAGGGGTTGTAACTTCTTTCTGTTATCGTCCAGATTAAACGGCCTTCGGGCGAGGAATCCCAGCTGAAAAAAGACGCTATTCTTACTGGTGTGAATTTGCTGAGTTGCGTTCCGCTGATATTATTTCAAATATGCTTCTCATCTGAAACACTATCAATACTCTAGATGCTAAACATTGATACTTGTGATTTAAAAGAAAGGAGTGAGATTTTACATTTCGGTATAAATTCTTCAACGGTATTAGAATCAATATTCAAAAGTTGCATCATAACATAATGTCATCCATAGAATCTCACGCTTTTTCATTATTCTTATTTCTTATTATTCATCATTTGAAATGCAAATCAAACAGAATTATTTGTGATTTAATTAATATTTCTGGTATGCATGGCAATCACTCGAACTGACAATTGAATCAACCGCCCCTTTAAAACCATATCATTAGTTATCATAATTATTAATAAACAAATGACAGAGAAAAACACATCTTTCCGGTTGTTGATTGTAATTGTTTTCTGAAACAGCAATTCGATTTGCAATCTCTACCATAACGTGATATTTATGAAAATATTAAAAACTAAAGAAGTTATATAATCCCTGTAATTTCAAAATATGAAACAAGTCACGCAATTAAATGATCAAACTAAAACCAAGTAAATGCTCCGTGACTTTATGTACAGATCTTCGTTTGATGAATCGACTTTTCCAATAAAGAGTATCAGAACACGCCAAACTTAACAGAACACGCCTAACCTGAATCTATCATAAAACGGTCTTGTTATAAAACACAACTGAAATTGTCATTCTTCCATCTGGTTTATAATGTATAACCTCGAACCGAGTGTACTCGACTGCACTCGTTGTCTTCAACAACATCATTTATCTTTCACGCTTCAAATCACTACCATCGAGGAGGTTTCTACGGAAGTTCAGTTTTTCTCATTAAAGGGAGCCCGGACCTTGTATTCGATACAACAAATGATTCCCACACTAATTGGGTCAATTTGTAGACTGGCCTTTACATCAAGTAGCCACTAGCTCGATTCCGAATAGTGGTTCTAAAACTGTAGCTGTGTTCCTTCGTCAGAAAAAGCCTATTCTATAATAACCTTATAGCTTGCGCTCATCATCTAACGATGTCATTAAAAGGACCAATCTGGAAGGCAGCCATCTTCAAACGGACCCACTGAAACGTCACTTAAAAACTTTCTGAACCATAATCAATGTGGCAGAGATTAACCATTTGTGAGTTTCTACATAGTTGCCGTTCACGTATATGAAGGTATATGGAACTGATGGATTTGATTTGTGTCATTAGGGTTCAGATTATCTTTAAATGTGCATTTTAGGTTTTTCATTTAATATATGGCCGACGGCAACAGCGTCAATGAACAGGTACGGTGTTGCTAAAACGAGGAACAAAAAGCCTCCATTAACTTTCTTATAGCATAACCTTGTCTGACTTAATGATATTTAAACATTGTTCTCCGACAGCATTCTTGAGAGAATACGAAATGATCTCCTGGTCATAATGTTATTACGTAAAGATCGTCTAATATACATTTGTGAACGTGAAAAGCCCGTTCACAAACACACGATGCCTCTAAAGCCGTTAGAACCATGGCTAAAGATAGATGTTTCAAGTATATCCAACGAAAAGTTGGGTTACCGGAGTACAGGGTTCCAGAATGATAGACCTACTGGAATCTGTTCCTAACAAATCTAATAATCCAATTTAAAGGAAAAACGTTTCGTACAGTATGTTGAACAACACATCAGAAAATTTAATTAAAAGCGACAAAAGCAATAAATTCAAGTATTCTCCGCCAAAAGCAGAGTCAGTTGTATCGAGAATGCGAAGGTCATGGTGCAGTTATGTCAAGTCAAAACAGCAGTTTTTACCGTAGTATCATTAGTATGTTTCATGTCAGTGTTATTACAGTTTACCGAAACATTACAATGTACGTTCCTGCCCAATCGGTGACACCCGTCACACAGTACCAAAGACCTATAAAATCAGTTGGCACATCATATATGTTATCTGAGTACCAACATCCGTAGTTCGTTTCAGACGAATTCAAATAAAAGCGACAAATCCCCTTCCATATTCATAATGCATCTCTGCAAATGCATAGTCGATCACACGATTCGGATTATATCATGAGCAGTCATATTTATGAAATCAGTTTTTCATAAAACCATAATTGAATTAGCGTCACCAACACAAAAAACCATATGCAAACGAACGAGACTGATAAAATGATAAACGAGAAAACATATCAGATGATGTTGGAAAATAACACAGAAATAAATAAAATTAGATATTTTAACGAAAGATAAAAATTCCATCAACAAAATTTTTCATGGAACAGCCGAAGGTCATAGCAACATCCTGGGCGGACATCGTTTTCCATTTACTACTTGTTTTTTTGTCAAAACTGTGTTTATGTGTGTGGTGGTGTGACGTCTTACCTTGCTTAGGCAAGGGGTAAGGCAATCTAAATAGCCTCTCGTACTCCTCCATCGAGTGTTTACCGATCTGCAGAGAGTAGCGAGTCTGGTTGATCTTGTCGGGGGTGGCATATACACGAATCTGCAGGAAACACAACATTCCATCAGAAAAACACTGCATGTGTTGCACAATGCTAAAGAATCCAAATAAACAATTTGTGATCGGCAGGGCTGTGGGATTACTGCAGTTTTCGTTATAGGTTCAATTTAGGCGACAATGCAGTTGAGTAAAAGTACATTTAAAGTCAATGACATAGAAACATAGGGTACTATGTAAAGTTCATATCGGGAGCCGACTGTTGTCATACCGCTGCAATACTTTTAAAAACGGCGTGAAAAGATACATATTCCAAGTTTTAAATGTTTGTGACATAGAGTTTTGCAGGAGTACGATGAAAATGATTGATTAATCATGGACGATAGCTGGTTTGGACCAAATATACGTGATTTTGTTTTAAAGCCCAGAGGAGTCACACGCAAACGTTAGCACTTGATTATGACACAAATGAATATCCTTGTATTCTACAATGTACGTATGTGTGTGTGTGTGTGTGTGTGTGTGTGTGTGTGTGTTTGTATGTGTGTGTTTGTATAAACCCGAGCCGAACAGAGCTGTGATGCAAGCAGACAAACAATTGAGCCTCTGAGTGTACAATCTATGTATGTATGTATGTATGTGTATGTGTGTGTGTGTGTGTGTGTGTGTATGTATGTATGTATGTGTGTGTGTGTGTATGTATGTATGTATGTATGCATGCATGCATGCATGTATGTATGTATGTATAAACCCGAGCCGAACAGAGCTGTGATGCAAGAAGAGAAACAACTGAGCCGTTCTTGACTTGTCTTCACCAACCTTTGTTCCTGAACTTGTTGTGTCTTCCACGTAGTCGAAGTCGCAGACAATGAAGCAGACAAGGTAGGTGCTCATCATGACAGATCTCTGGAATCGAGTTGATACGAGGGTAGGGGACCATGGCACCTTGGTCGGCTACAACGATAACACAACCATTTGATGATGATGTGTCTGTAAGAATAATGTCCACATGGACAATATGTCGTGTCCAGGTTGACGTTACCTTTGCTTGTATAATAACTGATAAAACGACACGTCAACGTAGTTATCTAGGCTATCGATTTGACACAGCCTTTATGAAACACTTTGAGCAAATTGTGTATCGTCTTTTTTCAGAATTTACAAATATTTTCTTTCCATTTGAATGAGCTAAAACGTCTTGACACGGGACCGGATCTGTCAAGTAAACGGAAGAATTCACAATGTCTTGGACGTTTAGATCTTTCGAGTTGCTAGTTCTCGTCTTCATTCTCATGTCACATCGATGCCTATTGATCATTCTCAAGTATGTAGATGTAATGGGCATAAGGCGGCTATTAGTTACACACGTGAACAGCGATCAAGGACTTGCATAATCCAACAGCCTTGTTCTATCCCAGAAGTTACAGTGATTACTACAACTTTCAGCTAGTAATATATCGTACACACATTTTGTCGAATGCACCATGACTTGTGCACAAACTACGAAGGCTGATATATGATCGTTTGAGCTCGATTGTCAGTGAGAGTTAGCATGTGCCAACCAATGGATGTCACTTGAGGTAACCTGACGGACGACCATGGTCATTTGTGAGTTGACGAACAATATGTCATATAACATCATATATAATTTGATGACATATTGTACATAAGTCTGAACAGTTGAATTTTATGTTTCTTTGGCATAAGAAATGGAATGATTCTATAACTGATGATAACATTATAGATTAAAGGTCACATAAACCCTAGGGGGGTAAAAATACATCAATCACTAACTGGCATCGTTATAAATGAAACCCCGTCATTAAAACTACTCATTTCGACCTTTAATTGACTTAAATCGACCTTTTTTGACAACAGTGCACAATTCTCACCCGCGAACGAAATTTCAACCAATCAGAGCGGCGCGACTCTGTGACGTCATATGAGGAATAGCTTTGAGGGCCGATGCAGAATTCATCTACATTTTAGGGGGTAAATTATCTTGTTTACAGGCTTGTATAAACCTGAAATCGTGACAATTGTTGTGGAAAATGAAAGCTATATGTTCTCACAATCTACTGGCATTTAATTTTGTCTCCTGCTTTGCCTAGTTTCCGAGTTACAACTTGTTTTCATAGACGCTTCTGTCACAATTGATTGGTGTCGTTAGGCCCTATTTGTATAATGACTGATCCAAATTGATCCCATTTCTGTGTTTTTACCTCGATATTTAATCATGTCATGTAAAAATCTGTTTGTATTCTCAAAACAGTGTCGGCCCATAAGTTTTCACATGCAATACAGCGATTAATACTCCCTTGTTGTAACCCGTGTTAGGTGGTATAAACCTACACATGTTATTTGTCATCATTCACTTGATGGTCAGTTAATGAATTTATAACAGGTATAATTAGTGGTAACACACTTAGATTACCCGACAAAGGTTCCCATTTGGCATTTCTTGTGTCTGGAGTAAATATTCAACATTATAAACATCGATCAAAGGATTAACCGATAACACGCTGATTGATTAATTACTTTTATCTTACACAGCGGAATTGTCAAAAGGTAGTGTTTATGTATGTAGATTTACTAATCTATACTGAATACACTCTGCCGTGTCGGTGTCTGCGTAAAAACAACGTCCTTCTTTCAAAGGATTAACCGGCAATACATTGATTGATTGCCCGTTATTGGCTAACTAAATTACCGTGTTTAATGAAAGGCGGCCATTATGCAATTAGTTGCCAGGTGTGCTATCTTGGGTGACCAATGAGACTATACACCAATACCTGAAAAGATTTATCACTTTTTCGTATATTAAACTGTTAAAAGACACATCATTTGGAACAGTTTTGTGGATATTGATGGATACATTCCTCAAACAAGGTAATGGCCTGATATTGTTCCTATAACTTTAATCTGTTTTAATTTTAATATTTGCATTTTGTTTTTTTATTCATTTGTCGTAGCATTCAACAGAATCATTGTTTTCGCCGTGAAGTGTAATGAGACAGACAACATACACTAGGGGTGTGTGTGCGAATTATGATTCACATTGGCAAACTATAAAAAGTCTAGATATTACAGTTCTGTTATAAATTCACTATAAGTATCAGCAGATCGTCAGCTTTTTATTTAGTTTCAAAATGCATAAAAGTATGATAATAAACTAATTAGGATTATAAGACCAAATATAAAGACGCACATTGACTAGTATCTACATACTGGTGAGTGGACATTAACCATGTGAATGTAGCAAGAAATTTATCGCGCAGTATTGTGACTTCGACCCCCACCTCGCTTCCGTGGAAGAAATCGTTATGTTATAAGTTGTGTCATGCAAAATCCTTTTGGTTATGATTCCAATACATATTTAACTACGAGTAGAAAGTAGTTTTGATTTTCTAACTTGATGAAAACAAACTATAATCTCATTAATTCTAACAGACTTTACGATTTTCAAAAATGGCGGCGCCCTGTCGGGAACATCCGCCAGTCTGTGGATAAATGCTATTTAGGTTTGTTTTCACCGAGTTACAAAATCAAAACCACTTTCTACTGGTAGTAAAATATGTATTTTATTGATGGCCAATAGGATTTTGCATGACTTTATAACGTATAACATAACAATTTCTCTCCTGGCAGCGAGGTGGGTGTCAATATAATACTACTTATAATATTATTGTTACTTCGACCACAACCTCACTTCCGAGGAAGAAATCGTTATGTTACAAGTTGTGTTATGGAAAATCTTTATGGTCATCAATCATATACATATTTTACTATAACTAGTAAGTAGTTTTGATTCTTTAACTTCCGTGAAGCGATCTGAACACAAGTAAAATATCATTTCAGGCTTCCACAACGCTCGCTTCGCACTCACAAACATAACCCATTTAGCACGAACTGCGTGGTCCTGTGGAAATCTGTGCATGGGGACACCATCGCCCGACCCCTAGGAGCAATTGACGACAAAGCAACGATTCGGCATGTCGTCGTTGATGTCGAGAAATCATCAAAATGATGAGCGTGCTACACATTTTCTATACAACTAACTGAAAATCGTTCCTCATATGACGTCACTGCAGTGCTCTGGCGACAGAGTTACGTAACCTGTCTGGTTTCGTTGGCGGGCGAGAGGGAAGCAGGCGACTTTTTGGCCACTTTTAATCGCTCGGTATTAATTAACCACAAGTTTTTAAAGAATAAATTTGGTGTTCCGCATAAGACTAACCACACATCTTTCATATGTAATGGTTAAAAGAGTCACAAAAAACAAAGTTTAGTGGTTCTTTAACGTAAACTGTCATTAGCTGCATGTTACAGATCATTAAAGTATTTAAATGTGTACACCGTTGTGGCACAAAGATCACTTTTTGACATGGTGCCCAGATACTGATGTAGTTTACTGATCCATACACAGAAGCATAAATATTATTGCAATTGGACGTTTTGCTGGTGACCGGATATAGGAAAACTCGAGGCGATGTAAAACATAATTTTCAAGAGATTGTGCTCTTATGCATCAAACCATCGCATGTTTCCAGAGGTCACAAAAATGCACATATCCAAGACGATGGCAGCTCATTGTCTATTGTACGAGGCCTTTCAACAACGATCATTTATGAAGATGGTCATAATCATGGACGTATCTAACTTATGTAACCAGTGAAGATCCGGGCTAGAATTGATCTTCAGCATCCCAGGCGTCTCGGAAGAGGCGACTAACGGGATCGGGTAGCCAGGCTAATTGACTTGGTTGACGCATGTGAGAGCTTATGAGATCAATCAAGGGACTGTCAGCTCCAGAGTCGATAATTTACAGACCACCTCCATATAGCTGGAGTGAGGCGTTACAAAACATACAATATAGCTTAAGTGCCCTATGAGTATTTGAATTTGATTCACGAACAGAGGTATTTCCATCAGCTTATGACGGGGGAGAGGAGAATCTATACTTCATAAACCAACTGCATAAATCCTGTCTTGACAGCTTTCTACTTAGTTCTGTTGATTTAATAACCTACCCTGCAGGGTGCGAGGTGATGTGGGTGAGATGTGAGATTACCTGGGACTCCTTGGGAGGCATATTGGACAAGGGGGTGTAGTCCGGCTCATGGATGAGGGTAATGGTATAGGCAGCCTTGATATTAGGTTCGTCAAAACACGGGAAAGCTCTCCTCGCATCGACAGGCTCAAACTTTGATGTTGCCAGATTCCTGGTAACAAAATGAAAACATTCTTGCAACAAAAAACGAATTATATGATATATCAAGTACGTCCGAAATAGTTTGTGCAGCATTCATTTCATTTGGCACAATGTAAAGCGATGTAAGGATATCATAAATTAACATCATATATTTTTGTTAACCGAATGTTCAATGTGACATGCGTATTGTGTAATGTTTGCTTTCTGTTTGTGAAAACAAAACCTTTTCATTGCGGTCTTGAATCCCGGTTCCATCCGTTTATTGTTTATTAAGTATAACATAACCATGTCCTTGCTCGTGGGTGTGTCCAAAGTTGTAAACGTCTGAAGCCTTCCAGCTATATCACGTTGAGATTTCCTTCTATACTAAGCAGACACGTCGTTATGTTACAGGGTATTATTAATTTCAGCACACCCACTCTCATATATGGAATATGTGAAGCCATGAAGTTTGAAAGGTCCAAAACAGCCGATCTATTGAACTATAAGTTTTTAAGACGCACTGATTGGTCTTACAAATTCAAATTTGTACCCCCCAAAAAAACCCCCAAAAACAACAACAACAAAAAACAAAAGAAAAGGAAACAACAAAATAGAATATAAACATTTAAATGTGTGATATCACTGTCACCAGAAGAGTGACACACAACATACCGGATCACAACACCAGCATGTATGCATATCGAACTCCCAGCATGGGCATGAGTATTATGTTAAAATGGACAGTCCACGCCATTTCCTTTCGCTTACAGTACACAAATCTCCATGACACGTTTCCTTACTCTCGCAAGACCCACAATGAGGTACGGCGTTGCATGGAACATGTTTCCTTACTCTCACAAGACGCAAAATGAGGTACGCCGTTGCATGGAACATGTTTCCTTACTCTCACAAGTCGCAAAATGGTACTGCGTTGGATGGGACATGTTTCCTTACTCTCACAAGACGCAAAATGAGGTACGCTGTTGCATGGAACATGTTTCTTTACTCTGACAAGACGCAAAATGAGGTACTGCGTTGCATGGAACATGTTTGCTTACTCTCACAAGTCGCAAAATGAGGTACTGCGTTGGATGGGACATGTTTCCTTACTCTCACAAGACGCAAAATAAGGTACTGCGTTGGATGGGACATGTTTCCTTACTCTGACAAGACGCAAAATGAAGTACTGCGTTGGATGGGACATGTTTCCTTTCTCTCACAAGACGCAAAATGAGGTACTGCGTTGGATGGGACATGTTTCCTTACTCTCACAAGTCGCAAAATGAGGTACTGCGTTGAATGGGACATGTTTCCTTACTCTCACTAGACGCAAAATGAAGTATGGCGTTTCTTGGGTGTGCTACTAGATCATGAAACAAATGGAACAAGTTCAATTTCTCCATGTAGATTCAGCAAAGTGGATGGTATGGATACACCTATATCAGCTCGTTTCTTACATTCCGATACACCTGTCCTTAAGGGATATCCATTGTGCACGGTCAGTCCATGATCCTGCATGCTTAAACCTTTGTATGTGTAAAACATGCCCTTCTTTTGTATTGACAAAACAGAAGCTTTCGACATTTGTAGGACGCCTTTGGTACATAAACATAGACCTGAAGTTTACACTTTATATTTGAAGACAGAATAGCTGATATAAATTTAAGAAAACAACTATCATGTACATGTATTTGCCTAGAAATGATTTTTTCTATAAATTACTGAAAAAGGTGGTTAAGCGTCTGTTTATTGGTAATATGTTTACTCTCGATTTAACTTTTTAAAGGGTGGTTCCAAGATATTTTCAAGCTGTTATTTCTTAGATTGGGAGGACTAGGTTTTACTTGTTTACTGGTTTCCTACACACAAGATACGATTGTGTATTACCTACACATCCATTCTATTTAGAAATGTCAGGTTAGCCTTAAGTACCAATTGGTGTCGCCCAGACTTTCCTTGCTGACAGATGTTTGATGGTGGTCACACAACATATTCAACTCGCCTTCCTCGCTGCTAACTTAAGACTGTTAAGCGAATGAGCGAAAATGAAACATTTCGCTATGGCAATAGAGAATGCTAGTATTCTCCCAACCTCCATACAGAAAAAAATGACCATCTTCAAGTCAACTTTCCGCTGAGATATCACGTGATGTGATAAGAACTCATTAACTCGTAACGGTTGTAGTTTCCGGAATACGAGTAGGTTCTTGACGTTTTCAAATACTGTTTACTAATAATGACTTCCCCGTGTGCAGGTGAACAAGTGGCCAACATTTGCACTCATCGGTACCATCTGGTATCATCACTATTTATAGAGTTTCCTAAACACATGATCATGATATGTTCGGAATTGTACAATCCACTAGCAGAGGTTCCATATGAATCTGGCGAGGGTTTTGTCGCTATTATTAGAATTTCTTTTTCAAGAGGATAGAATATGCTTTATAAACGATTAAATTCTCTAGTTACATCGTACATCTCATTAGAACTGGCAGGGCTGGCGGGGTAGCCTAGTGGTTAATGTGTTCGCTCCCCGGTTTCGATTCCTACCTTGGTGTAACCTGTGAAGACATTTTCTGTTGTCCCATGCCGAGGTATTGCTGTAATGTTGCTAAAAGCGCGGTAAAACTACTCACTCACATAAAGCTAACACGCGGTGATATCATTGGAGTGCTGTTCAAATGGTGTGAAACTTACTCACTCACCGACTTGCGGTGGCCTAACAGATAGCGGTCGTAAAAGCAGACCTGGGTTCTTGTCTCCAAATGGGTACAAAGTATAAATCACATAAATGGCCTCGATGTCGTGAATTAGCAGTAACGTTACACAACAAAACTCAACGAAAAACGAACACACATTCGAATCTGTGGTTTCCCAACAAATACTGTATTTACAATCAGTGGGTCACGCCTCACGGCATTTCCGGGCACACTGGTCTCATTTACATTACGTCACAATACATGGTGGCCCCGGCCCTAACCTACACTCCCATGCTGTAACAAAGAAGTTCACGGATGCATATAGGCCACACACGGGTTAAGTCCATATTTGATGACGTGAAGGGTAATTGTGGACATTGTAAACAGGCTGTTTCAACAGAAACTACCCTAACGCACCATTTACATCATATGTTTCTAGAAGCTCCTATCTGTTCCAACGCGAATGGATAAAGTATAAGGTAACATTATATCGAGCTTAGATTTAATCCGCGGATCAAAATAATCACAAGGCTTTCTCAAGCCTCGGGTTCCTCAATGAAGAGATATGGAGCGTAGTGCTTGTTATCAAGAGGATATTGTGAAATTAATGCCAAGTAAAGTGGATCCATCGCGCTGAGACTAAACACACAATTGTGTTGGTGTCTTTCGGAGTATTCTTGTCGTCTGTGTACCTTGGGTAAGCACTGACCTAATTGTTTTAAGTAAATGGCTGAAGGGTAAAATTGTGAAACGGACGATCTGGCTCATCTCACGGCTCATTAGTGCAAACAAGCCATGTTGGCTTGACCGATTATATTCGGAAGAAGGAATAGATTGTGCCTTTTTCTAATATAGATTTTCCCTCGTTGTAATGAACGTGGCGATGGATAATAATGTAAGGCTCATTGCCTAAATATCCTTCGTTGACACCAGAGGCTGACGCTACATTGGCGTGTTTTACGCCGTTAATCTCAGTGCGACGTATGGAATTGGGCACTAACAAGATTCCAGTACGTGCATGGTTTGGCTGAAGTAGCTCAAATGCAGTTCGCTACCATGTAGTGTTGCAAAAAAGCAAATGTATTCTCCTCGTAATTGAAAACAAAAATGAATGAGTCACTTATCAACGTCTGGTAAATAACATCTAGGCATGCCATGTCTGTTTAAGTACATGTACAATACATGGAGCTATAGTTATGTGACCCTTAGATTTTGGTTCCCCATCGGTGCTATCTTAAATAGAGGTTTAAAGTAGTGTATTATAGATTTTATTTTTCTTGAACACGGTTCCGATCAATCCTCTAAATTTTAAAAGCCACCTTTACGAACACATTCTTCGTGTGTGGCGATTAACGGGACGCCTGGTATTTTCGCTCGACATACGGTGTTGTGGTCAGTTATGTCACACACATCTGTGACCCGAAGGGCTTTCATATCATTCACCCTTACAATGTCGCAGATCATTTGCAAATAATGAATTCTTGTTCTTTACTCTAACGTCCTTCTATTACACCCATATATCTGTATGCGACACTTTGTTAACGTGAAGAAGAGAGAGAGAGAGAGAGAGAGAGAGAGAGAGAGAGAATAGAGAGAGAAGAGAAAGAGAGAGAGAGAGAGAGAGTCCAGAGAGAGGAGAGAATAATAAAGAGAGAGAGAGAGAGAAAAGAGGGCAGAGACTCTTGTCTTGCATTGAGAGAGGAGGCTTCATGTTTTAGCTTTAAATATTGACACACGTATGTACAAATATACTAACAATGTCATCTGATAGAGCTATTTACGATCTAAATATTCAGCTGGGGTATATGTTATAAGTGTTTCCAATCTTCTTTAGCATAACCAACAAGTTAAGTCTTGTTATAGAGGATTACACCTGTTGCACGCGTTGTCTCATGCTTAATGTCGCTATGTTGAGACCTTGAAGAGAAAGAACTGACAGCTACAGGCCCTAAACGCCTAACCAAACATGGCTCTGTACATATTCTTCACGTAGCTGGTTTGGCTATGTTTGTTTTAATAAAATTCACATCACTCAACAGGCTATAGACAAGACAAGCATAAACACCACTGTGCACTTGACGTTCCTTCTTGACAAATGTCAACACTGATTTTAATCTCTACACTTTAATACACTGCTATATAGACATACTTGAGTATATACCTCAGATAATCAGGACATCATATGACATCTCTGGACATAATGATATTTGAGAAACGTGAACGCCCTAAAGCAAGAAATATCAGCTGCGTAGAAATATAACCTATTTTCTTTCTATACTGTATGAAAGTTAGAAGTGGAACGATGTGGTGGGGCCGCGATGTGGTCTCG